TTTTACAACACATAATCATTATTTAGTGGTTGTAAATTTGTCTGAAGTACTCTAAGTGTAAAAGAAAGGGAACAGAGTTTCTCTCCTTGCCTTAAGTGACCTGTTACTGACAGCTGAAGGACATCTATGCTGTTCTAAGACTATTCTCCCCACATAGGCTGAGGCCTAGTCCACACGTAGCCGGGTTTTTTTAAAAACGAATATCTGCCCCTCCAAAAACTTGCATCCACACCACCTCGTTTAAAAAAAAAATCTGTCCACATGTACCCGGATAAATACGTTGTTAAGGACATGCCAGACCTGTAGGTGGCAGTACTTCCCCCGAATTGTATCCAGTCAGCGTAACTTTTCGTCTTCCTGTGGTCTTCCACAAGGAGCAGTAATTCCGCTTGCAAAAACAAACAAGCAAAAAGCGCTTGGACAATTGATAAAGCGAGCGCAGCTCTGAGGGCATCCATGCTGTCGGCTAGTGTAAACACAGGTCGCACACGTGATGTCAGCATTTTTTCTCGCGGAAAGTGACGTTGCGGACCTTCAAACTCCGGTTTTGTCTGTCCACACGCAGACACCCAAAACGGAGAAAATGCACTTTGGCCGGAGTTTATAAAAAGATCCGTTTTCGTGTGGATGACAGGCCAAAGCATAGAAAAATATCTACGTTTTGGCAGATCCCCGGCTACGTGTGGACAGGGCCTTAGATACACTGTGACCGTGCTAAACGATGTATTGTCATTGCCAGGTGGACCCATCCTTTTGTATTGATTTTCATTTTCTGAGGACTTTATTTTGCCGATCTATCCTTTCTTGTTCTTGCTTCCATCGCTTGGTTAAGTAGATGCAATATGTGCAAACAGATGAAGGATGACACCAAACAAATGGCTTTAATGGTGAGAAGGTTAATCTGTGCACACTTATAGCTCTCTACAGGCCAGATTTCTGCAACCCTGAGGAAACTTCCATTAAGAGAGGTTGCTGATGACACAATATCCAGTCAACAGTACAGAGGCTTTGGAGGAGGACGGGGATTAGACTGACCCACATGTTATCATTTGCTGCTTGTCCTTGACCAGACTCTCTGTTCTCCTTGACTGCCTTGTGCATATTTTTTTTTTCATCAGAGCACATTTTATTTATCACAGAAGCATTTTCCCCCACATGGTCGGCAACTATCTGCACCTCTGCAGTGCAAAGCAAATGTTCTCTAGAGTTTTTGCTCTGGTTTGCTTTAATTTAAACTGTTCCCTCCTGGAAATGCATGCAGAATTGCATAAATGATATATTAATGATCCATATAAACATTTAATCTGGTCTTAATCCTTTAACCAGTAAGGCAACTTGCATTCAAATATACAGTGTGATGCAAGAGTTTGGGCAGCCTTGTTAGTCTTCATGATTTTCCTGTGTAAATCGGCGATTGTTACAATAAAAATGTCAGTTAAATATATGATATAGGAGACACACGCAGTGATATCTGAGAAGTGAAACAAAGTTTATAGGATTTACAGAAAGTGTGCAATAAATTGCTTAAACAAAATTAGGGAGGTGGATGAATGTGAGAACCGTTGTCATTTTATTGATTCCAAAACATTTAGAATTAAATACTGGAACTTAAAATCTTTTGGTAAACTCAGTGACCCTTGACCTCCATACACAGGTGAGTCCAGTAAAATTGTGTTTAAGTGGGCCAACTGTAAGTTTACTTTCTCTTTGAATATTCTCTCAAGAGTAGCAACATGGGGGTCTCAGAACAACTCTCACATGACCTGAAAACAAAGATTGTTCACCGTCATGCATTAGTGTAAGGATACAGAAAGCTCTCAGAAATTTTAGCTGTCTGTTTCCACAGTTAGGAACATATATAGGAAATAGAAGACCACAGGCACAGTTAAAGTTAAGGCTGAAAGGGGCAGACCAAGTGAAATCTCAGCTAAACAGAAGTAAAGAACGGTTAGAACGGTCAGAGTCAACCCACAGACCAGCACTAAAGACCTACAGCATCATCTTGCTGCAGATGGAGTCACTGTGTATCGTTCCACTATTCGGCGCACTTTACACAAGGAGATGCTGCATGTGAGAGTGATGCAGAGGAAGCCTTTTCTCCTCCCACAGCACAAACAGAGCTGCTTGAGGTATGCTAAAGCACATTTGGACAAACCAGCTTCATTTCAGAAGAGGGTGTTGCGGACCGATTAAACCAAAATCAAGTTATTTGAGCATAACAAGGGGCGTTATGCATGGAGGAAAAAGAACAGCATTCCAAGAAAAACACATGTAAAACATGGTGGTGGTTCCATCATGCTGTGGGCTGTGTGACCAGTGCAGGGACTGGGAATCTTGTTAAAGTTGAGGGACGCATGGATCCCACGCCACATCAGCAGATTCTGGAGACCAATGTCCAGGAATCAGTGACAAGGCTGAAGCTGCACCGGGGCTGGATCTATCAACAAGACGACCCTAAACACTGCTCAGCATCTACTAAGGCATTCATGCAGAGGAACAAGTAGAACGTTCTGGGACGGCCATCTCAGTCCCCAGACCTGAATGTTATTGAACATCTGTGGTGTGAGGTAAAGAGAGCTGTCCATGCTCAGAAGTCATCAGACCTGAATGAACTAGAGATGTTTTGTAAAGAGTGTTGATGGACGTCAGAATACCTTCAGCCAGAATCCAGACTCACACTGGAAGCTATGGGAAGTGTTTAGAGGCTGTTATTTCTGCAAAAGGAAGATCTACAAAATATTGAGTTCATTTATTTTTGTGGTGCCCAAATTTATCCACCTGCCTAATTTTGTTTACACAATCATTGCACACTTTCTATAAATCCTATATGCGTTGCTTCACTTGTCAAACATCACTGTGTGTCTCCTGTAAGATATATTTAACTGAAGTTTTTTGAAGACTAAAAAGGCTGCCCAGACTTTCACATCTCACTGTAAACTTTGATGCCCAAAACAAATGAACATTAAAGGGTTAACCAAGAACATGACAGTATTTCATAAGAATCAGCTGGCGTTGAAATTTGTTTCAGAAATCCAGGATTTTCCTCCCCTATAAGCCCTCTTTTCACCTCATCTCTCCTTCTGATCTCTTATTTGCCACCCCTCGTTTTTTATCCCGACAATCCAATAATTTACACGTAGACATGACTAGGCCGAAGGGAAACAGGCGAGGGTGAGCCAAAACAGCTAGTGATAGTGGCTAATTAGCTACAGCTGCTGATGGGACTGCTCCTCGCCACCTGCCAGAGGAGCCTTGACAAAATTGTTATCAAATGTAATCAGAAAAGACGAGCCATTCTTCACCACATTAGGATCGCGGGCAAATCGAAGATGGTGGGCGGGAGAAGAGTGGCAAAAAAGAAGAAAGTTCTTTGAAAATGTATGCACAAGAATGTGTGAATGTATACTAAAAAAAAGGTGGTAATCATCATATAAAGCAGCATGGAAGCAGAGGGTGAGAACTTAGGAGCTCTTACATTAAAAATGTCTCTAAATATCTGGAAAGAGGCATTTCTTATTAAACCAAACAACCGAGCAGGGCAGTGACAAACACCATCACTTTCCCACTCGCTACTCTTGATCATGTTCCATTGTTTCCCTTATCCTACCTTCTCTTTTTGATTTTTTTTTTTTTTTTTTGTACGTTGCTGTGATCTTCTGCTCATGCCTTTTGAGAGACATCCCAGAGCCGCAGATTATAGATATCCCACCGAATAGGGACATTTGTTGCAAACACAAGACTACAACCACAAAAACATAAAACATATGCAGTCCAGGTGAGGGACACGTCAGGGGTTCTGCTCTTTTTATAATGAGGTCTTCTGTAGAGAGACGGCCACATACATGCCTGCTGCAGTGACAGCAAGGCTTTTTCTTCCTGTTTCCCAGGCCTGGTTTATAAATAAAGTCTTTGAACAGTGAGACACATAAAGCAAGGAGAACCACACAGCGCGGCGCGACAGATAGCAAAAGGAACATGTGGCTACAGGTTGTTGTTCCTCAGATGTATAACAAGGTAACACTGCATGGCACAAATCATGGCAAGTGATTTCCACGTCAGAGTGGAGGTGGAGCACCACTCATTTACAGCTTTAGTGGTTTCATTTTATGTTGACTGTGGTCAAATGGATTTGCTTTACTGCCGCCTCCATAGTAAATGTCAGAATTCAAGCTCCGTGGCTACGGAGGGGGGGGCGTCCTCAAAGAGAAGGGTGATTTTCAGGAATCGTATGCATGTGCAGTGCTATGGTGTGTGTGTGTGCATCTGTACATGCACGTCTCCCAGGTGCCTACCCCAGTGCTAGGGCTGGGTCTGTGGGGGCCCGCGGAGGCCGAGCTGCTGGCAGCAGCTGGAGAGTGTCAGCAGATGTGAATTGTCAGGCGTTGTGCTTGGTTCATTAGCTGCTCTTCCACTTGCACCAAACACAGCTGTTGCCTGGCTCACAGAGCAAAGGGGAATGTGTGTGTGCATTTATGTATTTGAGTGCAGAATGTGTAGGAAATAAAGTGGAGTAACCTATTAAAGTCAATGAGTATCGCAGATGTACATGTGCAAAGGAAGTTTGGGGTGTTAACTTAAGTAGTTTTACATTCATTATTTAAAAAGCATTTTGTTTCTTTTCCCCCCTACTTTGCATTACCCCAATGGTTTAACCCAAATGCTCACCTAATTATTAATTTTTTTCTGCATTTATCAAATTGGGCAGTCTTGCATTTATCAGAGGCAAATATAGGGGGCTTTTTGGCATTAGCTTCTAGTTAGGTAGCAATACAAAAACGTACACATATCTACACACACAGCTAGTCCTGCTCTCATTCATTTTGGATGCTGAACAGTCATACCAGATTCCATCATTGTCCCGACTGGCAGGGGCTTGGCTGGGCATAATATGCATTCAGATTGGTGTATCCCCTGAATAAATAAATATTTATTTTCAGAGCCAAGGTCTGTCGTAATTAACAGGAAGGCGGCTGACGGAATTCTATTATGCTTTTCCCCAGAGTCACCAGCAGCTCTGCAAGTCTCAGGTCAGCTGGTCTGGTTATGGAGACGTTTCCTTCACACACGCTGTGTTTTGTGTTGTCATGCACTAGTGTTTCTGCACGTGTGTGTGTGTGCATGTACGTGCGTGTGTGTTTGTGTGAGAAAGTTGGCAGAGTGCAGATACAGCGCAAGTCAGTCAGCAAATGTTATAACTGAATTAGACGAGTATTTTCTCTGCCAGGACTCTAATTGGATGTTAAACCGTTATTGCTTTGGGTTGATTGTGCTCGAGATGAAAAATTTATTAAAAACATGAAGGCTGGCATTGTTCGCCAAGAGGGTAGAGATAAGCTCGATGAGGACGGTAAACATGGGGAATTTCAAATCTCAGAACAGCAAGATGAAATGCCCGACAAGGGGCTACAAAGATAAAAAAAAAAATATATATATATATATATATATATATATATATATATATATATATATATATATATATATATATATATACACACACAAAACCATTGTTTTTAAATTTGCAACTTTTCGGCATATTTGTGTTGCTTTAAAATTTAAATGCCCCAATGCTTGTGGTTATTCCAGAACTCAAAACAAAACAAACAAGGAGAAATGCAAGACACTCTTCGGTTTGAGAAGGTGAGAACTCTGGGTCAGTGCCTGGATGTAGCAGGGGCTTTTTAAGTACCACTAATGCAAGATGAATCAACTCATCCATTATGAAACACACACACACACACAAACACACACACACACACACACACACACACACACACACACACACACACACACACACACACACACACACACACACACACACACACACACACATACACATACACACACACACACATATCCACAAACAAACAAACAAATGCTCTTTACAGTGTTTTAGAGAAATCCCTCTAGCCTAATTAGGTGAAAAAGCACAAGATGTTTATGAAGCATACTAGGCAGCCAGTGACAGCCACTAAAGAGCCATCGACTGCAAAAACGGTGACGGAGTGGATCAACGTGCCCACAGACGAATACGCCATCAGGGTATTTACCCTCAACCTGCAGAGTTTGCACAGATGACATCTTAATAAGCTGAGTTCTATGATGTATTTTTAACTGAGCAAGTGGGTCTCTCTCGAGGACCGTGCACCAGTGCCCACATCTAATTGGGTTTTTGCCTCCCTCCAGCACCAGCGCAGCATTACATTATTGTTGTGTGAACTTATATTCTATAGTCCCAAGCAAAAGCGTCCAGCCGTGACTCCTTTCTGATTTCCCTCCTCACTTCAAATATCTGTGTACTCGTTTGTCAAGTCAAACTAAAAGTATTAAAAGGAAGAATCAATGCAATGTGAAAACATCTGTGATGAGTATAGGGAGGAAAGAGTTTTACCGAACACTGTGAGGTCTTTGAAGTTAAATTAACTGATCGCCAAACTTTTTTTTTTCACGTTTTAGAGATTTCCAAACTAAGAAAAAGAGTATCTTCTTCAAGGACTTCCTAAGTCAATGCTCCAAACTGTCATGAAAAAAGTAAAAAAGCTATTGCTTCTTAGTTCAAGTGAGCCTTTGTATGAAAACATTACAAATTTACTACAATCATTTACTGTACTACTTACTAAAATGTCATTTTCAAAACAAAACATGATACAGTAGCAAATGCAAAACAGGAAATGACCTGTATTTGTATAGCACCTTCTTAGGGTTCTACAACCCCCCAAGGCGCTTCACAATACAATCACCCATTCACACACACATTTACACACTGCAATTCAATTCAATTCAATTCAATCGAATTCATTTCAATTAAATTTTTTTATTAGGCACCTCCCTGCCACCAATCAAGGCAGCCCAAGGTGCTGGTGATGATGAGCTACAATGTAGCCACAGCTGTCCTGGGGTGCACTGACGAAGGCAAGGCCCGCCATACACAAGCCCGTCCAACCAACACCAGCAGGAAAGGCAGTGTCTTGCTCCATGACACAATAGCAGAATTGTCTGCCAGGATCAAACCTACAGCCTTCCGATTACTGGACAACCTGCTCTACCTCCTGAGCTACTGCTGCAAATTGTTGAAATTTGATTTCTTTGTTTTTAACCAATGACTTGCCAATGCATCTTCTGTAATCCCGGAGCAAAACAGATTTGGAGATGTTTTTTAAAGGCAAAGTTCACTCATTTTTCAGATTCATTTGCAGTGGTTTCTAAAACAAATGCAGAACTTGTGAGTAGATCTCTGTGGGATAAAAGGTCAGGTGCTCCTGTTTCAGGAGCTAAATGGTAAGCCAGAGAGGAGGTGAGCAGAAGACGGCAGGTTTTGGAGGCTCCATTCCTGACATCTCACCTCTGATTGGATAACAACGACGTCACTCTACCACTGACAAAGTTTGCTTTGCAATGTTGATGTTTTATCTCCTTAAATAACACAATTCTGGAGGGGTTCTGCTGTGTTGTGGAGTTGCACAGGCTAACGGTTAGCTTCTCCTGGCCAAGAGTCTGCTATTTCCTGGACACTAAACCAACAGCACCCTTCCCCGTTGTGAGTCAAGATGGTTGAGTCCATGAATTGTAGCTACAGTGGGAAGTAGAGCTTTTTTCTGATCAGAATCAGAATCAGAAAGAATTTTATTGCCAGCACTCCAGCGAACCAGAGCATAGGAACTTGACTCCACAGAACAGCCTGACCAAGATTACACACACACATCTAGACAGGACAGATACAGGCACACCACGAGAGCAGCCATAGCAGCGCTCATTTCAGTAGATGAAGAGGGGATTACATGAGGAGAGTTCGGGGAGGGAGAAAAAGGCATTAACAGAGCTACACCGGCAGGGTGTAGATCTACTATGCAAAAAAACAACCAACATAAAAGCACGAACGTCACACATGAGACCCGTTAGGTAGGGGGGACGGGACTGGGACCCTGGTTTCCTCAGCGGGAGCAGCCTGTGTGGCGCTTGGCCAACTGAATCCACAGGTGGGAGGGAGGTCACGAGAAAGCACAGACCACAGTGAGTGCCTCCAACTTGATGACCTCGGTGCGGAGACCACAACCTGAAGGCGGGGGGGTGGGGGGGTGGGGGGGGGGGTAGGGTTTTCACAGCATTTGTCTGCATTCCTTCCATCGTGGGGGTTTTTGCACACAACTCCAAGGCTGCTTATGGCGTCAGATTGGATAACAGGACTTTGTTTGTGTCAGGCAGAGATAATTTTCCTCTCTGCCTTAAAGTCTGTATTGATCATTCAGATCCTCCAGTGAAGCCAATTCGGTGATTAAACATCTCCACACCGTCCGGTGACCCTCTCCGAGATGACATCCAATTTGCACACTAACACCGGTGAGCAGCTAAGACATTGTCCAGCTTGCGATTCACCTCGAGTAAGGTCCCAGTCTGTGAGGTCTCCGCCCGGACGGTGCCGTCCATGGTTGCGGGTCGCCCTCCAATTGCTCCCATCATCCCAATTTTTTGGAAAACCAGATATCCTCCCACTCCAATCTGAAGAAATCCAGTGATGATCAGGCCAAATATCCACATATCTTCGACGTCCTCAATGGACAGCTGAGAGAGACAGATGACATTCCACTTCGTCCAGCAATCGAGCATATATCCCGCTGCGTGTGTCCAGTGAGGACAAGCGCGAGCCCCCTCCTCCGTTCTCATCGTAGAAAAAATCTTATCAATTGCGTTGAATGACCAATTAATTAAATCCATTTCTGAAAATTAGTGATTGCAGAGGAGATGCAGAGAAGCGCTCTGTAGGCAGACGGGACAAAAAGAGCCTTGGGAAATAGCAGATAAGGGAGCAAAGCAGAAGCGACTGTGCTCTGTGAGTGCTAGAAGAGGATCTGAGATTGCCCTTCAATGTTCTATTGGTGGCTAATACAGAAAAAAGGGGTAGAAGACCATATTCTTGTTTAGCCTGCATCTCAAACTTAGAGTGGCTGATCATATTCAACAAATAACAAGTAAAGGAAAATGAAAATGACTTGGGTCAGTGTGTTTCTTTCCCTTTAGATTGGCTCTTTATTTTTCCAGCAAAGCACCCCACAAAAGGTTGGGAACAGAGCCAGAGTCCTGCCACCAGCGTTCCTCCCCATGTGTACCGCCATGAAGAGCACCACCTTGATGTTTTTGTTTACATGTTTACTGATTCTGGCTGGGCACGTCAGATCAAGAGACACCCCAGTGACCGTCTGCATCAAACGTAGCAGAGACCTGTGGAACAGACGAGTCAAGCAAAAACAACTTACCATTTTATCATTCTTCTTCTATGGAAGTGAGCAGCTCAGCGGTACGCTCCTGCCCTAAATTGCCCACCTTATGCGGATGCAATGTGGGTGTTGGATCTCTGGAGGCCCGGTGGTTATAGCACATAGGGGAACCATGTCAGCCTGCATGAGCTGCCAGCAAATCTGTTAATTAAGCATGCTAATGGTTGTAATTGTAGCTGGTGGTGAACCCAGCTGTTGAGGTAAATTCTAGGTTTGGCCCACTGGTTGTCAAGATTCAACATTATCTGTGCGTGTGCATGTGTGTGTGCATATGCAGCCAGTACGTGCAGACACACATCTGTTTTATGCATGAGTGGAGGAGGTAGAGAGAAAGAGATTAAAAGAGAGAGAGAATGGCAGGGCTGCCGAGTGAGGACAAGGTGAGAGGTTAGCGGCAGGGAGGAAAGGTAGAGACTGGAGGACGTTGAGCTTTTTAACCTCATGGCTTACCTTCTTCCTCTCCAACATCAGACATCATTTCTGCAGCGGCTCCCTGTAAAATGTCCAAAGGGTGTTCTCCCTCTGCCCGAGGCTTCAGGTGCTGCGGCTGGGATAATGTCAGGCTGACACGGATTTTACCTAGCTTCACAATAAGTGTGACTACCAGCTTAGAGGCAAATGCTGAGGCAGTCTCTGTCCTTAGGGCATGTCTACACTACTTCAGAAATGTAAAAAATGATTTTTCTCTCTCTACATTTTTACAATTCAAACTAAAATTAAACTTCCCACACATGTCAAAGACATACGAGATGGTGAGA